TTTAATAGGAATCTTCATCATACAAACTCAATGCTTTATTTTCAATAAATTGTGAAAAAAGTAGCTTTTGGTACTAGTAATCTGTCATTTGTACTGGAAATACTGTGCCTTTTCCCCCACCACTCTCCAGTTAATCAATTTAAAGTTAAGAAGTGAATATTACATAAACTAAAGAGCAAACAGAGAGGGGGAAACGGTGTTTAAGTTTACTAGATTCTAAGAAGACGCACTGTATTTGATATACACTTGCCCAATGACATGGTTGTGTTCATTTTATTCATCTAACTGGAGTGCTCACTCTCCTTTTGTTCTTGAGTTGTCAAAATTTCATATACTTTTTAATTTATAATTAATTGCTATTGATAAATGGAAATTTGATGAGATGTGGTAATAAAAGCCATTGATCTATAGTGATTAATTATATAAAACACAATGCATATGAATTATTATATAAACCACCATGTACATGACTTGGAGGGACCGAGTAACAACAACACATGAATGAAACACAGTGTTTATGAATACTTATACAAAAATCAAAACAAAGACATAATAAAAAGACAGTAAAGGCTTATTCATGAGATATGGAGTTAAAATAACTATCAAAGAAGTAATTGGGTGTGAATAAGAACGGTTGAATGCATGCTACAGAGTAGAGAGAAAGGGGAAAGAAATGTACCCTGAAGAAGTTTATATATATTACATATGTGTATGATTTTTCAAAAAATATCACACAAAGTGTCTTATTTCATCTTCATCTATTTGCAAAGTGAATATAATTGTGATATTACCATTGAAAGAACATGTGTTCAAAGAAGAGACTAGGTTGTTTAGGTTAATGTGAAGTCACTGCTCTGCCACACCTTCTTATGTCCTAATTAAGTATTCTGATCTACTGTGATTAAGAATGACAAACCTTTGCTATTGTTTTGTAGTCTACATTTTATCTGTGACTTACCCGCACTTTCAAAGGTATTTACCAGAGGAATGGAAATGGATTTCCAGGAAATTAAATGTATATGGAGGGCAAAGTAAGACTGCCAATCTATGACTAAGACCTTTCCAACATTAGAGAGAAAATACTTCATAATTTTTCTCTTGTAACTCAAACAAGGAAGCTTAAATAGGATCTTTGATTATTAATTTAAAAGGTCATACATTTATTCTATATTCATTATAGCTCAACATTGCCAACTTCTGCTTATAAAAATTGAATATTGTAACATACTTAAATAAGAATATATGTTCTAAGAGTTCTTGTTGTACTTACATGCTCTGCAAGAGCAACGGCCAAAAGGCAGGTGAAGATTAAAAACTTCATTTTGACTTAGTCCTGTGGGAGATACAGAATACATATACATTTATATTTATATATTCCATAACAGATTGATTTGAACTACATGCCTTTGGGATTATAGTGTAGTTTCTTGCCAACCAAAGTTACAAATATTATTTCTAAATTTCCAGTTTTTAAAACATTCATATCAGACAAGTATTTTTTGCTCTCTCTCTGATAAACAGATTAAGAATACAATCAAGTAGGTCATACAACAAATATTTAATTCCCTGAAATGTCCAACACTTCATTTGATGACTTCATACAGAGGATTAGGGCAATTCATGATAAGGTAGAGAGCATACAAAAGAGTTTTCAATGTCTACATACTAGCTGCACCTAGAGGCACTATAAAACATATATATCAAAAGCTCATATTTTCTTTTTTTTTGAGAAAACAGAGATTTCCCCCCCCCTGCCCCATTCATTCATTGTTGCACTTTTCTCTCCCCCCAACCCTCCCCCCAGTACCCTCCCCTCTTGGAAAAGTAAAAGAAAAATTTTTTTATTGTTTTACAATCCCTCCCCCCCAGGTCCACTCAATTTCTTAAAGCATCTTAAGGTGCATTAACGTTGTTGTTAGGTGCCATCATGTAGACTATAACTCAGAGCAACCCTATGAATGAAGCACTGGAATTTTGCTCTACCTTGTGCCATCCTCGTGATCTCTGACATGCTGGAACACACTGTTATAGTAACTGTGTCAATCCATCTCATGGAAGACCTTCCTTGTTTTAGCTGACCCCTCATCTTTTCCAACAAGATAACTTTTCCCGAGGACTAGGCTCCACCTTATGGCAAGCCCAAATTATGTGAAGTTTCTCCATTTTTGCCTCTAAGGGGCATCCTGACCCATTTCCTCCAAAACAGACTTGTTTGTTCTTTTACCAGTCTATAATATAATCAACATGTTTACTAACACCTAGAATTAGTGTCAAAAGACACGTTTTAGTATATGAGGTTTTAAATATAATTTAAAATAACCAAGCAAGCAAACAAACCCAAAAGCCTGAAACCATTTAAACCTACTGTAATTGAGCTAATTCTGACTGAGCAATCCTCCATTGATTTCCAGGGCTATAAATCTCAATGAGAGGAGACTGTCCTTTCTTCTATGGAGTCACTGATGGATTTAAATTACTGGAGATATAGGTCCATTTAATTAGCAGTGCAACACTCTACAGACTACACCATCAGATCATCAACAAAACATTATTAGTATATAAAATTTTATAAATTATAACATTACCTTGTTTTCTAAATAGAAGACAAGAAGTGCAGGTGGTAGTAGAACTGAGACTGGCTCTTACAGCTGTATTTATACCCTATTCCTCCATGATATGATAATTCTGTGGTTTGAAATACCTGTAAAGTACTTGAGTTCTAAGAAATCATAACTAGAACTTTTATTTCTATTCAATTTTTACATCATAGATTCCAAGGAATGACTCAACTCGTGTTGATTTAGAACATGATAATGGGAAATGAGGGTATAATAAGGATAATGCTTTTCTTGTGTTCCATGGGTAATTTTGCCATGAATGTGTGGTTTAGAATAAGGCTTTGTTCTTTCAACTCGTTTTTTTTTTAAAAAAAGAAACTTACATAATATTAAAATACAAAAATGCTTGAATGATTTATTGACAAAGAACTAGAAAAAATTCTGAGTTTAGAAGCAGCTATGGCATCAGAGAGATAATTGCTAATGTCAAATAGATCCTGGCTTTTAGTATAGAATACCAGTAGTTTGTCTACTAATGTTTTATTGACTATGTGAAGGCATTTGACTGCATGGATTATAACAATGACTAATATTGAGAACCATGGAAATTCCAAAAACTTAATTATATGAAAATCTATTCCTAGACCAAGAAGTTGTCTGAAAAGCAAAGGGACACTGCATAGTTTAAAATCAAGAAAGGTGTGCTGCAGGGCTCTATAGTTTTTCAGTATGTATTCAACCTGTAGGCTGAGTAAATCATTTGAAAATTTGAATGTTATGAAGAAGTACGTGGTAGCAGTTAGGTGATCAGGAGACACTGGGAAAATCTGCTGTCAGGTACCTCCCAAAAATCCTAGAGCAATGTTGCCTGTTTAAAGTCTAAAGTGTTACTGATTCAAGCCATGGTTTTTTTTCCAATATTTTGCTATGCATCTGAGAAATACGCAATGAATTAGAACGATAGAAGTAAAATCAATGCCTATTAGTCATGGTGTTGTAAATGTTGAATGTCCCATTAACTACCTAAAGAAAAAACAAATATGTCTTGAAGAAGATGCACTCTGAGTGCTCCTTAGAAAACATGGTGGTGCAGTTTCATTCATTTCACATACTTTGAACAAGTAGTTAGAGGGTAATCTTTGGAAAGAATCATCATCCTTGGAAAGGGCATTGGACAGTGAAAGAGAACAAAACTCTTGGATAGACTGACTGCTCCAGTGACTTCAGCTCAGGTGTATCAGGGATAATAAAGATGGCACATGACAGGAAAGGGTTCCGTTTTGTTTTTAATAGGGTCACTTTGAGTTATGCACAACTCAAAAGTACCCAAAAACAACTTTAAAAAAAATAACTGGGAATCTAAATTTTGCTGCACAGAGAAAAGTAAATTCAATACCATGAGATATAACAGGAAAAAAGTTAAATAAATGTGTGGTGGTGGTGTTGCTAAGTGCCTTTGAGCCCCTACAACTCATAGTGACTGTATGTACATTAGCAATAAAATCTGATCTGTTCTGGGACAATCTCATTGTCTTTGATAGACATAATCCCTTTTTTAAAGTCACTGAGTCAGTCCATCTCATCCTGGGTTTTCCTCTCCTGTGCTGCCCCTCCACCATTCCAAGTATGATATCTTTCTCCAAGGACTGGTCCCTCCTGGCCATGCACCCAAAGTATGTGAGACGGAGCTTTAAAATCCTTGCCTCCAGGGAGCAGCCTAGTTTTATCCTCTCCAGGATGAATCTGTTTGCTCTCATGGCAGTCTATGGTATGTTCAACACTCTTCTCCAGGATCGCAATGTAAAGGCATCGATCTTTCTTCTATCCTCCTTAGCTATTGTCGAGTTCTTTGATGCATAGCAAGAAATTGTGGAGACTATGGTCTTGATCAGACATATCTTAGTCTCCAGACTGACATCGTTCTTCTTCAGTACTCTGAATACCAAGAGTATTGATTGTGGAGCTAAGTAAGCTAAAGGTAACAATCTCAATCTCTTCACCATGTATCATGTTGCTGACAATTGACCCAATAATGAGCATCTTTGATTTATTGATGTTGAGCTCCAATACACATTGAAGGTTGTAATACTTGACCTTCTGCAGCAAGCACTTCAGATCCTCCTCAGTTTTAGCAAACAAGGTTGTGTCATCTACATAACTCAGATTGTTAATGAGTCTTCCCCCAATACTGCTGCCACATTCCTCCTCATAAAGTCCAGCCTCCCGGATAATTTGTTCTGCATATAAATTGAAAAGGTATAGAGATTAAACACATCTCTGGTGTATATCCTTCCCAATTTTGAATCAGGCAGTGTTTCCTTGCACTGTTTTGACAACTGCTGCCTGTCCAAGTATAGGTTTTGCATAAACACATCAAGTGTTCTGGGATTCCCATTCTTCTCAGAATTAGCCATAGTTTGTTGTGATCCACACAGTCAAATATTCTTACCTAGTCAATGAAACACAGATAGACATTCCTTGGTACTATCTGCTTTCAGCCAAAATCCATCTAATATTAGTTATAATATCCCTAGTACCACAGCCTCTTCCAAACCCAGCTTGCACATCTGGTAGTTCTCTGTGATGTGCTGTTACAGTAGCTTTTGGATAATCTTCAGCAGAATCTTGCTTACATGTGATATTACTGGTGTTGTTCAATAATTTCCGCACTCTGTTGGGTCACCTTTCTTTGGAATGGGAACAAATATGGATCACTTCTAGTAAGTTTGTCCAGGTGGTTGTCCTCCAGGTTTCTTGGCACAGCTTGGTGAGCACATCCAGGGCAGCATATGTTTCTTGAAGTAAGACAATTAGTATACCATCAATTTCTTGGACCTTGTTTTTTTTGTAATTTCTTCAGGGCAGCTTGAAATTCTTCCTTCATCACCACAGGCTCTTGCTCCTATGTTGTTTAATGAAATTCTTATGTGTCCGATTTTTTTTTTTTTGGTACAGTGACTCTGTATACGCCTTCAATCTTCCTTTAATGTTTCCTGGATCATTTCATATTCTGCCCAAAGTATCTTTAAGTATTGCAACGCAAGGTTTGAATTTGTTCTTCAGTTTCTTCAGCTTAAGAAACGCCAAGTAAATTTGGCGCTTTTTATTTTCGGACTCCAGCTCTTTGCACATCTCATTATAATATTTTACTTTGTCTTCCTGTGCTGTCCTTTGAAATCTTCTGCTCAGCTTCTTAATTTCTTTATTTCTTCCCTTTGCTCTGGCTCCTTGGCACTCTAGTGCAATATTCAGAATTTTGTCTGACATTAATTGTGTTCTTCATCTTCTTTGTAATGTCCTTTTACTTTCTTCATGGATGATATTCTTGATATTTTCCCAAAGCTCATCTGGTCTTTGCTAATTAGTGTTCAAGGCCTCAAACCTGTTCCTAAGATGGTTTTGAAATTTAAGTGGAATAGACTCAAGGTCAAATTTTGATTCCTCTGGATTTGATTTCCTTTTCTTTATGTTAAGCTTCAGCTTGCGTATGAGTAGTTGTCTATTCCACATTCAGTACCTGGCCTAGTTTTCAGAACTGATGTTGAACTTTCCCAGTGATTCTTTCCACAGGTGTAATCAATCTGATTCCTATGCATACCATCAGGTGAAGTCCATGTTTATAGCCTGAATCCTCAAATATAGAAATGCAAAGGATGAGGAGCTGTTGTAAGCAGACGCTAGTGACTGAAATGTGGAAAGTGAGAAGCATGCATGTAGAAACATTGACCATTATTAAGAAATAAATGGAATGCATAAATATTGA